CATTCACATTGACCACAAGACATCTGAGACATCAGAGCTTTGGCTTCCTCGCCTCTGTCTTCCTCCTCGTCTCTTTTCTCTTTAGCCGTATTAGTCCTACCTGAATTCTCTCCTCTCAACAATGTACAGGAGCGCTAATTTGCATTGAAACGATTTGAATTTATTCAAGCTATTGTGTGCCTGATTGGATGCCCATTTTCTCTCTTTTGTCATCAGGAAAGTGATGTATCACAGACAATATATCTGCAGGGGCCCAGAGAGACAGGAATCAGATGGAAAATCATATTAATTCAAATCCCCCACAGAGACAGAGAGAGAAAGGGGGGACGGGGAGCGTGGCTAACCTCCTCCGTGATTGTCRCTGCTTTTAGCCAATCAGCAGCAGGCAGTTTTTTTTTCGGGGAGTTTGTTATTTGTGGGCAAGAAGGGATGCAGTGTTGTGTTTGTCTGGCTGGTTAGGGAGTGATTAAGGCAGATAATGTGAGAAGTGCTTCAGCTACACCCCAGGCTAATAATATGCTAACACACTCAGCGAGCCATGTTAGCGCAGCCAGGCCTGAACCGATTACACACATACAAACACAGACACACATTTATACACACACAGGTTTCAGGTTCAGGTTCAGCTGGCTGACTTGGCTACGGAGGRAACGATTTAAAGCCTGGGTCATCTGATAGACTCTCCCTGGCTGTGTGAATGGGATGGAAGGTCAGAGAGGGAAAAGGAAGGAAATTGTGAATGTGGATAAAGCAGCAGAGAGGAAGAGCAGATGTGTAAAAGAATAGATGCGATCTTTGTCCTCTATCAGGAGCAARTGGTCAAACAAGGTGGATCTCACGTTTTTAGATGCTTACATGAACTACACAGAGTATCCAAAAATAAATAAATAAAATAATCTTTTCAAAGGCTGTTCATCTCTACAAATAATATATAACTTTTTTCAGTCGTACAGGATTTAATTGGATGTTTTTTTGGGAAAAAAAGGCTGGATTATATTCATTTTGGGAATGAGGATAGGAATTATTGAAATAAACTTTATATTTACCATCTGCAGATTAATAAGGCCAATTTTGCACATATTTTCATTAAGTAGCCACACCTTAGCATATTAAGCTAATTAAAAAGCTGCTTGTATCCTATGCTGTGTCCAAAACAACAGGCCGGGTCCTCCGGAGGACCCACACTACCCTGTCGAGGTGGGCCGGGTCCTTGGTAGACCGGGAAGACTGGAAAAAAAAGAGGCTGTGAATTTGGACGGTCTAGCCTCCCCTCCTTACCCCAGCGTACGCCATGTCACCTAGCAACCATGACGATACTAAACAGAAGTAAAAATAGATCAAAATTAGAAAAAATATCAATATATTAGCAATTATTAATATAACAAAACAATAAAATTAACTTAAAAGTAACATTTGAAGATCTAATTGACCCGCTGTAGGTGCATGTTTATTTCGTGGTTTTTATGGCAAAAATAATATTTAAAAACATGTCCATACAAATGATAAAAGTATTAGAATTACAATTGCTAAAAAAAATTATATTTATATTGCCATATTTTTATTTAAAACGTATGCTTTTCTCTCGCTTCGTCCGCCATTACTAGCTTAAAAAAATCTACGGTCGGGCCGCAATGCATTMTGGGATATGCTGGGCCGGGAAGGATCCATCGGACCTGTCCTTCATATCGGGGAAAAGGAAGGACGTATTTGTCGGCCACATCGGAGGAGTCTTCGGTTTTGGACGTCCTTCGTCGCGGCGCTGTGACGTATGCGGCTGATAAATYCGGCCTTCGGAGGACCYGGCCTGCTGTTTTGGACACAGCCCTGGASTTTGTTCTTACAGTCATGATCCAAAGACCACAGATGAAGTTTGGAACATAGACGGATCAGTAAACTGTGAGATTTGCTTTTTAGCTCAACTCAACTCTATTTTCACCACTACAGACCAAAGCAACGTCTTTATTATTTCCTTGATCCATCTCCTGGTCACGATCATATAAAACTAATATTAGCCTCACTTTAATGGGTTTCTGTTTGTTCCAGAGTAAGTTTTAACATTTTCCTGTTCACTTACGTACAAAGCTCTAAATGGGCTGGTTTACTTAAAATAATATTTATATCATTACACTCAAAAGTAAAGGATTCTTATTGTTTTTCCACAAGTCACTGTAGGTTTCTCAAATAGAGCAAAAGTAGAGATAAAAYCATTAGGCTCCTCCCATTCCTCTCTGCTGTGCTTCGACTCTGCCATTAAAGCCCCTCCCCTTTAGTGAGGCTAATATGAATCATATTCAGTATTTATGGTCACTGCAACTGAAGAAATACCAGTAACTAACACCAGTTAGAGATTACTAATGTCAATACGATTAGATAATRTGGTTCAAAAGCCTCATTTCTGATGTTTTAAAGTAAAAAGACTTTCAACAATGTTGGTTAAATTATTGACCACAGGCTGATTTTAACTGCTTGCAGTGAACCTATAACCTAATGCACAAGATGCTTTTTTTTTTTTTTTACAGAGAACCATTTGGGTGGAAAATGTGTTTTAAAATGAGAAAATACTTTAAACATATGCTTGACTGTTGATTGGATGAATCATCAGTCAAGCATTGTGTTTACGGCTACTGCCAATTGGTCAAAACTTTTGGTTGAAAAAAAAAAAAAATCTGATCCCTCATTTTGTTTTAGCTGGATCTTTATCACATCATCAGAATTTTAAAAATAAAGAATAAAAAACAATAAAACAACTTTTTGACAAGCTTCAGAACTTGAAACTACAAAGGCAGCTCTCAAATATCCAAGTACCATTTTTATTGTTTGGGCTTAGCCGTCTACAGCTCAGATGAGATTTCCTTTGAGAAAAACAGCAGTCAACTGAAACAGTATTTTTTAAAATGTTGTTTTCAGATTTAAAACCTAAACTCACTGCACTCAGAACGACAAGCTTTAAGAGTTTTTTTTTCTTGGTAAAATAAGAAAGGTCAGAAAAAATGTACTTTGAGTCTGTCAAGAGGAAATATTTTATAGGTCTTTTATTTCTCTGGTTGTAAAACCAACATGTGCAGCCTTCAGTTCTCAAAATGATTGTTTCTTTTAGTTCACAGAACWGCTCTTAACATAACCAAGAATCATTTTGCTGTTTTAATGTCCTTGACAACAACGTCAGAGATTAGTCACCGTTCCCTGTTTGTTGCTTTTACAGAGAGGAAAAGCAGACTGAAGGTTATCGAATTCTGCATCCCTGACCTRGTAAACATTCTGCTGTCCCTTTTTATTGTGCAAAACTACGGTGCTAAGTGGCAGTTCTGTAGATAGGATGCTTGAAAAGGGGGTCATTCTTCAAACCAATTCAGGGGACTGTCTATTTTAGTCAAGTGACAATCTGTCATTTAACTGCCAGCAGGTTGTGCCATCCTCTGCAGAACAGTTCCACTCAAGAACTAGATCAGTTCTGAAGGGGGCATTGATTTGGGTTAGCCMTTAGAACTGGTCCGGAGATGTCATGACTATTTTTGAACCTATCAGTCAAACCATCACAGCCGGTCTAGTATGGATGATAGKGACATTTTTTGCTGCTTCATCCTGAATTATCTAAAAAAATCCTCTTCTCCATTAATATAAAAGCTGTTAGTAAAAAAACAGCATTAACCAACTTTTATATTTGTTGGTGTATTTTATTTTATTTTATTTTTTTGCAYGGTGCAGAGATGGGACTTAGCTTGATGACTAAAAATATCTCACGGGCCGCATTCTGTCRTCAGTAGAGAACCACGCAGTCCTTTAATGAAAGTAGGGTAGCTCCCTAGGCCCAGACATCCACTGGTGGTGTGATCCATATTTTATTAATAGCAGGATAGCGAAGCGCTCGTCTGATTGATACTGGGGTTTAAAAGGAGCTCTGCAGGAAAGCTAGGTGGGACTGAAGACCTCTGGGAGTAGCGGGCACATAAAAACCTACTTATGTCCAACTTGATTGGAGATGGTTGTTGACAAGCCAAGTTGGACAACAAAACCATCTCTGACTTGTGTCTTCTGCTAAGTGATTTTTTAAAGCTCTACCGACATGAGAATTTGGATATATCAGGTCTGAAATATTTATGAGGACAAAAGAGAAGGGGCTGAGAAAGATGGAGGATGGAAATGAGGAAGGAAGGGAAGGAAGCCAATGCGTGATGTCGGCAGGAAAAAGAGGACAAATTGATACAGGAGAGGATTCTAGGACAGCCAGGGTGAATTCAGAGACGAAGGAAGGTGGAGCCGTTCGATTGGAGCAGAATAACAGTTTAGTTTCGAGTCAAAAACGGAGTCTGGACAGAGACAACCTTGAGGAGGAGAAGAGAAGAGGCACACTGAGAAATCACGACTCAAGTCAACGAGAAAACGTCCAGAACGCTCAACACGCACAGAAAGAAAGTAGGATGCGACCAACAGATCGACATGGAGCCTKCGTGACGATGACAGCGACAGATCGTT